AAGCCATCGGCATGTGCATCATGGAAAACCAGGGCTCAGGAGGGATCGGAGGATTATAAAGCTCTAGTGGGGAGCCACCTTGCCAAACCCAACCCCTAGACCAAGATGTGTGCCAACACCCACCCTGAGGATGCTCAGCAGATAATTTTACCAGCAGCCCTCACTTTGGAAGCTCTTGAGCACCTCTCTTCCTGTAAGTCTGGGATTTCTTGTTCTGCAAACCTTCACTAAACCTTCACCCTAAATCAAACCCAAGGCCGGGAACTCAGTCCCATCCTCTGGTTAGGCAGAGGGTGGGCTCCACCAGAAGCTTCGCTTTGGGCCATGGTCAGGACCAAGGCAGTGGTCCTGAAACAGGGTCAATCCCCTGGGGACCAGGAGAGACAGGCACCCTCTGCCACCACCTTGGACATGAACCCAACATCTGCACCCATCTAGGTGCAAAACAGATACCAGGAGCAGGGTGTGATGCTGCACAAGGTGTCCAGAGCAGGAACAACGTGATCCAGCCCCTCGGAGGCATGCGATGCTCCCTCTGCACGAGTCTCTGCTTGCAATGCAAGCGATGAAAGCATAGCATCAACAAGCTTTGGCAAATGAGCTGAGCAGAAGAGCAGGGGCACCCGGGGCGTGATGGCCAGCCGTCAGACCGGGAGCACCGGGACAGTGATGCATCAAGCCTGGATGAGCTGTGCTTTGATAAGGCCCGGCAGCAATGACTCACCGAGCTGCCCTCCGCAAACCGGGGGAGGCAAGCGAGGTGACGGCACATCCTTGGTGCTGACCCCCTTCTGGGAGACAAATTGGAGCCAGAAAGGTTCCCAAAATGAGGAAACGGAGTCAGGAGGCAGCAACCTTGCCTAAGACTCGTGGATGATGAAGTAAGCAGGACTGAGGCAATACATCCCCCCATAATCACTGCTGGCTCCTAAGGGGTATAAAAAAACCAGTCCAAAAACCAGTTTGTCATTGCACATGAAGACAAACACCGGATATGGAGTGGCAGCTTGCCAGCCACTGTCCCCTGTGCTCTGCATCACACTGTCACACGCAGCCACGCACCTCTCGGGGATGCTCTGCGGGTCCAGGGGCATGAGTGGGTGAAAGCATCTCATTTTGAAAGCTAATCCCCCCCCAAAAAAAAAAAAAAAAAAAAAATACTGCTTTCCCCTTCCAGGAGGTCTCACCCTGCTGGTGCTTTGAGCCTCATCTTCCCCGTGCTGCCATCCAGCCACTGTGGTCTTGTCTCACTCCCAATCGCCCTTCGCAGAGTATTTCCTTCCACGGAGCCTAAAATTAAGCAAGAGGTTGTTGGCGAGGGCTGGGGACACCCCACTACTTTGCTGTGAGGTGGGATGAAGGTAACACAACCCGTAGTTTCCAGTCCTTGGTAAAGGGGCACTTGTCACTGGCAAAATGATTACGGCGAGTGACTTAATTTGCTTTGGAAACAGCTGAGTCATTTGTAATTAGCAACATGCACCAGCACTGGATTAATGGGAGCACCTGCTGATGGAGGGCAGTCTCCGGGGAGCTTCCCCCGTGGCTTTGGCATGCACAGACGGAACCCCATGGTCCTCTCTTCCCTGCCACCCACGGCCCTGCGTGCCTGAGCTGCCGCACCAAAGCGATGCGCCTGAGGCAAATCCTCTCATCCTGTTCCTTCCGGTCCAACCACCACTGTCCCCATCACTGTTACCACTGCATGCCCATATGCTGGTCTGGGCAGGGAGTCCGAAGGGGCTGGAGGGTCCCACACTGGCCAGGATTTGCAATGCAGTGAAGTTTGACCTCATTTTTTTGGACACATTTAAGACTCAGCTGGACAGGGTGCTGGTCCACCTTGTGTAGACCATGCTCTTGCCTAGAAAGGCTGGGCCAGATGATCCTTGAGGTCCCTTCCAACCTGACATTTTGTGATTCTATGATTTATTTTCCACTTGGTGCTGCAAAAGAGAGCAATGGCCCTAACACCGGCAGGGCTGGGCAGGTCACCCAGCAGCAGGCAGGAAGCCAAGCCACCATCGCTCATCCTCAGTGGAGGAAGGACGAGACCAGCTCCAGAAGGCAGAGGTGGCTGGGCATCACCTGAGGGGTCCCCACTGCTCCCCATGGCCATCCATCAGATGGGGTGCTTGCTGGGGAAGGGAAGAGCAACGTGCATCCTCCAGCCATGCAATGCTTTGCAAACCTCATCTGGCCTATCCCACTGCAAGGATCAGACCTGGCCACCAAAACTGGGCTGCTCCCCTCCAGCGACCAGCTGGGGATGGGACCCTCTGGTCAATTTGCCACCAGATGGCACCAAATAAACCAACCTTGCAGCGGGGACACCTTGGGTGGCTCAGGGCCATCGCCACCCCCAAACCAGACCACGTCCCCCATCACCCCACTCCTCTGCCCCCACCTCAGCCGGCAGCAGCTGGAGCTGCCCATGCTGCCCGTGGGGCGATGCACCGGCTCGAGCACAGGGTTATTTGCGTCGGGTATTGTTTTATTTGGTTTTAGCAGCGTCTGATAAGGCCCCCTCCTGCTGCGTGTTTATATGCTGTCGGAAAATTAAATGATTAAGATTGGGTGTTTACATTTCAGTGGAAACTATTAGGCAGTAATGAGCCTGGCCGGGTCTCAGCAGCCTTTTGTGTCGACATAGCCACGGGCTCAGCCTTTGCCGGTCTGCGCTGCCGAATGCAGCGTCGGTCACTCCTAATAATGTCAGACGGGTGCTTTTAAATATTAAGAACCCAGTTCTTTCATTTGCATTTTTGTCGGGGTGTTTAATTCACACAGCAATTCTTATTGAGGTCTTTGAACGGCAGAGCAGCAGCCGCCGTTCCCTTGTCGGCTTCGTATCTCATTAGGAGAAGTTCTGGAAGGAGCAGTTAATGCGAACTGCTGCCTCGTTAAGAAATGGTAATGATGTAGGATTACTAAAATTAGCAACACCGATGGTTGACCCTCCTCGCCCCCCTCCCCCAGCACAAAGCGCAGTGCAGCCCCCCAAGCCCTCCACCCTTCAGCAAGGGCCTCTGGGGCCACTTTCAGCCCCTCCTTGCACCATCGCCCACACCTGAGTTGTTTCAGTGAGGAGGATTTGGGGTGGTCCAGGGGAGCAAGGCTGGATCTTTAACCCCAAGAGGTCACCACAGCTGCCTTCCCTGCGCTCCTGGGTTTCCTCCTCCTTCCATGATGGAGCGTGTCCAGAGAAGGGCACCGGAGCTGGGGAGGGGTCTGGAACCCCAGGCTGCTGGGGAGCGGCTGGGGGAGCTGGGGGGGTTCAGCCTGGAGAAGAGGAGGCTGAGGGGAGCCCTCATCGCTCCCTACAACTGCCTGACAGGAGGGAGGAGCCAGGGGGGGGCCGGGCC